TATTTGCACAGTAGATCTGCAGGTTAGACCTGCTCAGACAGTAGCATGTTTGTGCGCTTTACATTACCAAAACACTTTCTAAGTTTGACAGTCATGAGTCAGTGTTCACATACTCACTTTACCTTTTTCCTCATCCCTGACCTGTTTCAAGTTTGTATATACTTTTGCCTGGCTCACGCAATGTGGAGAGCCATAAAATTCCAAATTGCATACAACGATTGCTGATTTCACAAGCACACACACACACACAGAGGTCTCCATATATTTGTGGGACTGAAGAGCACCCCCTTATATGATGTTTGCATTGGTTAAACACTGTAAATATTACTTAATTGATATGTATTTAATGCTTGCTAAGACAGTTGTTATTAAGGACATAGTTTCTACTGACAGCTTTGGGAGTTTTAAGTCCAGACAAGGGCTGAAAGATCAGTCTTTAATCTGCATTTTCTTGCTGTGTATATAACGAACAAATGAAACTTTGCAAGGACTTTTGTTTTTAGCTGCAGACATAAATGCATGTGCATAGGTCATTTGGTATGACACATACAGATTAAACCTTGAAAATATTTCCAGGCTGCATGAAAATAAGACCAACAGATTTTTTTGGTAAGAGATTTGCCTTAATTGGAAAGGCTTAAAATAAATTATTATATGATTAAAAAAAGCAAGGATTGCCTGCTATTTGTTGTAACCCCTATTTCTGTAATGCCTCTGTAGCCAGAGAAGCAGCTGTTCATTGCTGACATTCTCCCTGCCAGGCATTCCAACTCTCTGAGGTAATGGGCTACAAGCATACGGGCCTTTGCTTTAATTCTTTCAGCGTATCCTTCCGCATGGATAGAGCAAGGGGAACGCCTCCAGGAAAAGAAATTAAATGCACACACACAGAGGCACACAGAGACGGGCGATTTGAAAATATTTCTGAGAACGCAATTTGCGCTTATGCAGCGCAGCGTCACGTGGAAGAGGCTGCCTGAAGAGCTGGCTGGCACAGGTTTATTTTGTTGTAATATTTTCTTCCACCCCCAGCTCTTTACCCAGTGGAATGATATCCAGAGCAAGTTTTTTGAGACAGGAAGTGAGGAATGTTTTCACTATGAGTGATCTGAGAAGAAGGTGGGTTAGCCGAGATAGCAGCTGTTTCGGACAAGAGGAACACAGTAAGTCAGTTCCCGAGGAATACCGATGAGATGGCTCCAGGAGAAAAAGTCTTGGAGTGCTGTGAGTTTTTTTCAGCTGCACGTATGTGAAAGGAGACTCGGTGTCTCTGGATCACTGCACAAGGTAAGGGGAAAACAGCAGGCACAGTAAAAACATAGTGGGTGATCTTCACTGCTGTTTACTGTAAGACTGGGGAGTTTCAAGCATTTACTTTTTGAAAAGTATAAGGCTGTAGAACTGTGCTTCTAGGAGGAAGGGGAGGTTTGAGATGTGCACTTACTGCTGCTCTTTAAGTCCAGGAGTCATGGCAAAGATTAACTGGTAAAACATGGTGATGGTGGAGTATTCTGGGTTTTTTTTTTTGCTCCTCAAATATTTCTAAAATATATGTATTTTAAGAATTTGAAATGATAGGAGCACTTTTTCAGCATCATATATTGCAGTTTTGTTTTTCACGCTGTCATTCATGCAGGCTGTTTAAAAAATCCTTGTAAAGTGAAATGCTGATTGTTGAAGGGGGAGTGGAAGGTGTAGGTAAAAGAAAAAGATACTATAGCACTCAGTAATCATGCGTCAGTCATGGCCATGTTGCCAAAATTCTGATACAACATTTTTGAAACTACATGTTTGTGTCGAAATGCAAATGTACAAAGTTTGGCCACTACAGACTTTTTTAGCTGTTGTGTGAAAATTTCAGGCTTGATAAATAAAGCCTTGTTATTGCAGAGGTCATCAATTGGATTTGTAACTCGTGGAGGTATGTAGTTCCCTTTTGCTGAAGTAGCTTTAAAACAGTGCGGATGTATCTGAATTTAAAGTAATGCAGAAGGCAAATAGGAGAGAACCTAGCACAGAATGCACAGCTGCTGAATAAAAACAGCACAGCTGTGTTTGCAAAAAGTACACATGGCTAGCAGTAGAAGTTACTGAATGGTACCTCAGTGTTACTCATCAAACTTGCCTTTATTCTACAATATTTATGATACATCAGGAATTATTTTTTGTTTTAGTTAGTCTTTTGTGACATGGACTGGAAGTTAGTTACTCAAGTTTTCCTTGTTATTTATTTCCTTGTGTTTCAGAAGTAATGAAAATTGTCAGACATGTACTGAGTTAAAATGAAATCATTTAGGCTAAATGCACAGGTCATAACTTGAAGAGCGCTCCTGGCATGTTCTGAAAATTCTGTGCTAAACTTTCTTCCTATGCTTGCATTGCTACCTGTCTGCACAGCGAAATAACTGAAAGTCAGCATTAGATGGTTTGGAAATGTCACCTGTCTGGTGTCAGCCTCTGGTTGGTGATTTTTTAATTTTTTTTTCCCATGCCCTTAGAACACTTTTCTAAGGGCCTGATGGGGGCATAAAAGTTTGAAAGTCTTTCATATTCAGTGGTGCTACATAGAAACTGAGGTTAAAACAGCACTGCACTTCTGACTGCAGCTTTCAAAAAGATGAATAAGTTGTTTTCTCTCATTGCTGTAGCACTGAAGAAAGTGCGTAACTGCACAGAATGTATTGGAAAACAGGCCCTGGGGACATGAGCTGAGGTCAGTCAGCCAAAACTTTCTCTGCCAGGAATAAACCCAGTGCGAGATTCTGCTGGCAGCGGGCAGAAACCTGAAAGCTTCTGTCTGTAGAGCATTCCCTGCATGCTGCTCTGGGGAGGCAGGATTTGGAGGATCAAAGTACAGACCGAGTAATAAAGTGAAGAGTCCCTGCATATCCTTAAATTTTTCAGAGGAACCTGTTGCTATCAGTTGTTACGTATTCTGCAGCTGCACCCAGAAACAAGTTAATGTTCGTGTCAGGGTTTTTTTTGATTCAATTAAGATTTTAGGTGGTATCTGTTGAGGATGGGGATTGTGTGGACAGTACAACTGCTTCCAGACTGTTAGAAACATGGTCAGGAAATAGGCTTACGGTTATTCTTTGGAGTAGAGTTGCAAAGATGTCGCTGAGAAAAAATGCTGTGCTGCCTGCTCTTTCTCCCTGTTTTAGGCCCTCAGTGTCTCTGCCTCCCTTTTTTCTTTGCCATGCTGCTTAAAAGGGAGTAGGGAGTCTGATGTGAGATTTTCAACCTAAAGAGTTTGTGGTTGTGTTGAATAACATTAATATTTCTAGGTATGTGTGTAAATGTGCAAGTAGTATGTGGCAATCTGTTTACAGCTACACCTTTAAGTTTAAAAACAGGTGTGCAGGGGGAGGCTCTTTCTTCTGATTCCCCTACCCCCAAAAAATGGATATCCTCATGTTATTCCTGTCTGATAATTCTAACAGTCTTCAGAAATCAAATTACGTCTTTTTAAATACGCTAGTGCTACATACCAGCCTGAAAGAAATGCAGGTGCTTGGTTTCTCTTTCCTTTCGGGCGGTGCGGCGGCTTGCCGCCAACCGACCCCCCCCCGCCCCCAGCCGCTAACACCGAGAGGAAGAAGCGCAGTTTTGCCCCCGGGCGGCCCGGCCCTCGGGCTGCGGGCAGGGCAACGGCTGCCTCCAACCGCTGCCTTGCCCCGCATCAGCTCAGCCCCGCGCTGGCAGCGCTGCGGGTCCCGTCTCAGGGGTGTCAGTGAGGCGCGGCGCCGTGAGGGAGGCGGGGCAGCCCCCCCACCCCGAGGCGATGGTGGCTTTATCTCGCCTGTGGGAAGCGCTTTCACTTCAGGGGTAGCCCGAGCCCCCGGCCGAGCGGTAGTGACTGCCCTGCACACACGTACTTCTGCTGACACTCCCTCCGGATTTAGAGAATGTTTTTATTTTGCATGTGCTCCTGAAAACCAGCACTAGTAAGAGTGACGGGTTTCTTAGGCCAGGGTGCGTGTGGTAAGAAAATGCTTGAGAGAGGAGAAAGGCAAAGCTTGTGTGTTACGGAGCTGCCAGGAGAGGCGGTGTGAAGGTGTTTGCAAAGGGTGGGGAAATGGGTGGCTACCTTTAGGCTGAGAGTAAGTGCTTTTCAAGGAAAAAAAGGAAAATAAATGGTTCTCAGAATTCGTAGACTCTTTTGCTGAGGCAAAGCGTAACCTGAAACATCATACAGCAGTTTAGCGTAAGAAATAATGGTACAGGTAGCTGTAATTCAGGGAAAATTAGAGGAATTGGATTTTAATTGTCTGGTAGGAAATGGCCAAGGTGTGAGCTTTAATGCCTTTCTTCCTGCCTTTCTTTTTTTTCCCATAACTGTTTATGGGGCTTGGTTTTGTGTTTAATCCAACAGATAGCAGCCCAGGCTGCACGCCGCTTTGAAAAACAAGCCAGATTGCTGGTTTTGCTCGTAAAGAAAATGGCTTTGTTCAGTATTAGAAATACCTTAGGCAACTCGGACTTCGTAAAGGGATTTGATTTAAATACCCGTTCAGTTTAGAAATACTTATTTTAAGAGATTGCAGCCACATTTGATTAAGACTCACTATTCACTTCTGAGTTTAAAAAAAAAAAAAGTCAACTTGCCGAAGAGTGGTGTTGTCTGTGGAAAAACCAGAAACTCTGGGCATTATTTCATTATTTGAATGCATAACAGCACTGCATTTTGGAAAAGCAGACTTATTATTTAGATTTAGAAAAAATATACATGTTATTTTTCCCAGGTTTCCATTCCCCTTTCAGTCAAAGTATTTTAGATTCTTGTACTTACTGTCTTTTGCTACTTTCTAGGGTTACAGTGGATGCCCCTTCTACCTGTCTCTTGGTGGAAAACTTGCTTATCTTTAATGGGTACTGCTGCTGCTGGTTGATCTCTGGAGACTTTACAGCTCCTTACATTTTGAGAGAAGATAGCTACTTGTCCCCTCCCAAGGCCCCGGTGGTAGCAGCTTTATATCAGTAACCATCTGCACGGGAAAAAGAAGATGCCTCTACCTTTTGGGTTAAAATTGAAACGAACTCGACGTTATACAGTATCCAGCAAGAGTTGCTTGGTGGCTCGTATCCAGCTGCTTAATAATGAATTTGTGGAGTTCACGCTGTCGGTGGAAAGCACGGGCCAGGAAAGTCTGGAAGCGGTGGCTCAGAGGCTTGAATTGCGGGAGGTAAGCGAACCGTTGAGTGAAGGTGCGATTTTTGTCTCTAGTGCTAGATGACCTTTGTGGTAAATCCGTACCATTTGGGGCAGTCAGTTTTACTGGAGCAGCTATTCTGTGTTCCCTTTGTTTCTTCATGTTTTGGTCATGATAGGGAATCAACGTGGTCCAAAACAGTTGCAAAACTTATGTTGCAGAGCTAGGGAATGCCCAAGGGGAGGACACGTGAGAAGTGGCAGTGAATAGAAGCTTAGAGCGATAAAGTGACTGTTTTTAAACTTCACAATGCTGAAAATGCTGTTACAAAAAAAAAAAAAAAAAAAACCCACAAAATGACAACAAAAAAATTTCTGTGTAAGCAATATGGTTAACTGTGAGACTTGAGACAACTTTTAGCTTAGGATATGAAAGAGATTTATTTGTGTGCGTGTGTTTCTTCCTGATGGATGAGTGCTGTGAAAAGAGCCTAAAGCACAAAATGTGGTAAGTGTACCAGTCACCAACTATTTGTATTGCTTGTTCAATGTGCAAACATGTTTGCAGACACTGTCTTGGAGCAAACATATAGTCAGATCAAGTGCTGGTGTCCTGAGGAAACATGGTTTGCACTAATTGAATCTGTATGTGTCAGTGTAATTTGTCTTTTTTCCCCAAAATTCCTGACTTGGTATTTTGAAGGATCCTTTTGCAACTGAAGTTTGCTCTTCTCTCACACATTTAGTGATTATTCATACATCTCCTGTATTGAGCAAATCAATTCTGAAATGCTGAGCTGCAAAATGTTATTTATAGAAATCTACATAGTTTACCAACATATGAATGAATGTCAGGGTTTTATAATTTTGTTGAGCACAGGTGGATTTGATTGCAGTAGTTGATCCTGTGTAAACTGACATTTCCCACTGGAGTCTCAAAAGGTTTAGTTCATTTTGTAGTCATTAAAACGTGACAGCATGTGCACTTGTGGGGGGCAGGAGAGAGAAAACTTTTACTAGAAGTTTAGTGTCTGACACTGGTCTGAAAAAGATGCTTTTTCTCTACTATGTGGTCTGCCATATAATGGTGTTTTGAATATGGGATGCAAATACAGGATGAAAACCCTAGATTTAGGTAACAAATAAGAGTAATTGTGAAAATGACTGTTGGCTAGTAACTATGATTTTTTGAAATGTTATATTTTCATGGTCAAGCAATGTCAACTGCTTATAGCTTTGCTCAAATATTGAGCAAGTAAATTTAGGACTCAAATCTTGCAAACACTTATTACTGTACACTGCATGCATTACTGTAGGATTTCCTGGTAGGAAATGCTACATACATTCAATTGTTTTCAGATTCCCCCCCCTCCCCCCCCCGGCTTGGAGAATAATAAATAAATTAAATAGATGTGAATCTATTGATCTCTAAGTGGTTTTTTTTACTGTGGTTGTTTTCAATCCCAATATGCATTCTTGTAGATTTTCCAAATATATTTTTTTTAGTGTACTTTTATTTTGGAAAAATGCAATTCTATGCAACAGTATGACTTCTTTTTTTCAACGTGTTCTTTCTAGCAAAGGGAGAGTACCTATTCTTACAGCCTTAGTGTTTACTTGGAACACATCAAATATCATATATTTAGTATTCAGTTATTGCTGTGTTTGAATGGAGTTTGTCAGTTTTATCTATCTACTTTCAGATCTCACTGCTAAGTCAAGAGAAGGTAAAGGATTTAACTATATTTGGTTTGCAAAACACAAAGGCTTTGTTTTCCTGGATGATTACTGCTGGCTTTTATTGAACTATTCACAGAGTGTTGGAGATGCAGTTTTTTTCAGCTATTCTTCATTATCTATCTGTTTGGAGCTACTCCTAAAAATCTGTTTTTAAAAAAAAAAAAGAAAAAGAGAGAAAGATGGCAGTTCCCTCAATTAAGAGTCATATATCAGACTAAGGGAGTTGACAGTACACTATTGAACTCTGAGCAGATTCCTTCAGTCATGCATTCTTGCATGGATTATTTTGGCAGGAAAATGTGTTGCAATAAAAGGGAATGGAAAGTAGGGGTATAAATTACTTTCCAGAGCTTGCATTCAAAAAACATTGTTTTGCCTTTAAATAGTCAGATTTGCCAAGCAGATACTGGATCATTCCTGACTGCTTGCTTAGTAGAAAGTTTTCAGGAAGAAAACTTTGCTCAGTGCTTTGCTTAAGTCTGCAAAAACCGTATTAGTTCTTAGTGCTGTAAAATACTAAGTACTTTCTATAAGGTGTTTCATATTGTTAATGCACTAAGCACCCCTACAGTGTGAATGTGAATTCAAAGTGTTAAATGTGAAGAGTGTGGCTGTATTTGAGTACTGAGACTTAAGGCAGTTACGAAAACCAAGGCATCAGTTTTGGATTACTGTATATGGTCTATGCAGTTATGATGTGCAGTTCCCATGCACCTTCAGAACAGTTTATTGCAGGAGGTATGAAGGGAATCTCTACCTTTTTACCCATTGAATGGTAAAATTTGTAAATGTCTCTCTGGTGTAATCTGTAATGACTGAATTTGGGCAGTGAATTGAACGGCTTATTTTTAATGCTGTGCCATCTTTTAAGGCATTTTTTTTAACAGATCCTTATGTATATGACTAGTCTTCAAATTATGCTTTGTGTGGCTAAACGCTGATTTTTTCTTTTGTTTTTCCAATTAATTCTTCTCAATTTCCAAGTTGTATACTAGTACGGACACATAGTTAAGGTTTAGGAAGTCATAAGTATGTTGACAATTTTATTTTTTTACTGAATGGTATGCTTTACAAAAAAGTGAAATTAATACATTATATTAAGAAGAATATCTTCTGGTATTCCCAGAATGTGACTCGTCAGCAAACAGGTACATAATCCAGCTCTCAAACTGAGGAACTGGGGAAAGAAGCCATGGGGAACAGGGAACATAAGTTACTTACCCTTTGTAGCGCAGCCAGTCTTTTTTCTGGTGAGAGAACTGTAACCAAATTTGATTTATGCAAAAAGCTGTATCTGTTGCAGAAAACCATTCTGGAATTACAAGTTTTGAAAAAACTGCTGAGAGCTCTGATTGTTAACTGCCTTAAAAAGTATGTGCAACACCGCTCATCTTGCATCTAGAGCATGAGTATACAAATTAAATACTTGAAAATAGAGAAATGTTTTTTTAAATGTTAATACAGCTGGATATCTGTAGGATGTTTGGCAGGAGATGTTACAACTGATTTACCTCTCTTGCTGGATTGTCTTTTATTTCTGTTTCCTAATAACACTTCTAAACCAGAATGAAGGGGCAAATTCTGCTACTGTGTACAAAGCAGAGTCTGACTTAAGTGCAGATACATGGTAGAGATTTGGGCCCAAGTACAAGAACTAAGGGTAGGGACTTCTGTGGAGAGTGTGTTATGCATGTGCAAGTTCCTGTATTTGTTTTGGGCATGAATAGGAAAGAAGGAATCAATTATCCGCATCCTGAATAACTTTGAAGCTCTGAAACAGTGCTTCAGAAATGCTTGAACTATGCTGTAAAACTTTGCTCTGACCTCTAAAGTATCAGCTCTTGTTTGGAGAAAACACATAAAAATACCTTTAATTCGGTGTGGTGGTTTCTTAAATGTGTTTTGCATGCCTGAAGAGTGTTTTTAAAATAAGACCAAGTATAACTGTAAATATTCTTACGTGTATATGTATCAGAAAGCATATTGATTGGCAAATAAAAGTTGGGCCAAGTCATGACAGAAGGGTCACTAACATAATTATGCTTCTGCCTTTTATCAAAATCTGATTAAATTTTAGCTAATGCTTGGAGAAATAAGAGGAGAAGCAGTGCTTATAGTTGAACTGGTATGGTTGCCTCTCTGATCCAAATTTTCCTTAAAATTAGGAAAGGAGAAATTGTCATGGAGGAATCTATAAAAATACAGACCTCCTGTGTGTAATCTAATTTAAAATATGTTATTTTATTGAAAAACAAACTTTACTCCATCTAAAACATATAATAATTATAAGTGTGCTGTAATTGCAACTTAGGAGCCAAGGTAAATTGAAGGGCAGAGCAGTTAGCCAAAACTCAGTAATTGCCTCAGTGCAGTTAGTGTAGTCTTTCCTTTTTCAGAAGGATACGATCAGATACAGAATTTGCACTCGGTCCTACTACACTGAGCAGCACAAAATTAAGGTTTTTCCGTTAAAACAATAGTATCAATTAGGAAGCGTTGCCTCTGACTTCTTTAGCTTTTTTATAAAGTTAGGTCAGAACTTGATTATACCACTCAATTTTTTCACTGTCACAATGTCTGTGAATCGCTGTATAGTTTTATACTAATTTTGACAGAAGAGGTTTTCTTTACTTCCGAAGCAAAGACATTAGTTTATTGTTTAGTATTTTTAGATTACTTTGAAATTTTGCTTTTCCCTGTTGTAAAGCAATCAGAATTTAAGCCTCTGATGAATGGAAACATAATACTACTTTTAATGTCAGTGCTGTGCAAGGTGTGAGTCAAAAGCGGATACGTGAGTCCATCCTTCTCAGAGCCGTGGATGGTGGTGGGAGAAAGCAACATGATTTAAAAAAAAACCAAAAAATGTTTCTACATTTTTTGGTCATGTTGATTGATAACTGACCTGTTTCTGCAAGAGGTTACAATATGTCTTGATGGGATATAATGTCTTCTATGCACTATGAAGGTACTGCTTTTTAGCTTGTAAATTAGCAGGTTTACCTTTGTCTTATTATACTGATGAGAAGAATCTGCCTTGCCTGTCAGAAGCCCATTTATTCATTATACTCGAAGGGTGTAAAACACTGTGTATTGCAGTTCCAGCAGTGTTTTAATTTGAATAAGTTAGAATATGTCAGATTACCTTGCAGAGTATTGATTTTGTTTATTTCTTATCTCTGCTATTTTGCTTTAAGCTATAGTTGGCAACTGCTTTGTTTAAATAGCATTTGTGAATCCCATATTGGAGTAATTAGGAGAATGTAATTGGGGGAGATGTTGGAAAAAAGGTTT